TCAGAGACCAGCAAACTTTTTAAGACACTGTATTTACGGAAATGCTCATTTCATCTGAAAGCTTAGACCCTGTGGTCAATTACTATACTTCCTGAAAAGATGTATTCCCCACATGACTCAAGCCTGCTTGAGAAAGGAAAAAGGTGGCAAGCTAGAAACGGAGCATGAGAGCTGGCACCTACTAACTGCCTTGATCTTTGTCCTTTTGATTGCTTTCTAATCCATTAAAGGTCTCCATGTTACCCAAGTGGCCTTTGAACAAACACTGTCACTTTGGCAATTCATAAAAGATGAAATAGATTTCTCCAGAGCTTTTCTTTAGAGAGATTTCAACTATTTAACACATCCCTGACCAGTACATGTTTGAGATATGACCCTTATGATGTAATTTGTATTATCAAATTATCAAATACCATTTTCTGTGGCTTGAGGGTTTTTTTATTTTTAAAATGTTATTTTGTAAATTCTGATGTTTTTTTGAAAGAGATAGATGTGAAAAGATAATATTATAGGGTGATGGAATAAGTTAGGAGCTTTTCTGGCCTGGAGAGGAATATCCCTTTATGAAATAAGGGCAAGTGCAGGGTTCAGCTGGTAGAAGGACAAGCTTATAGGCCAAATTTATTTCTATGATCATGAAATCAAACTGAGAGAATTTGCTGATTTCAATAGATTTGTTCAGTTGACAATGACTAATTGTTATTTCTACAATCATGATATCAAATGGAGAGAGTTTGCTAGTTTTAATACCTGTGGACCTGTGATCCCAGGTAATGCAGACATTTTCATAAAGCATCCATGATTGTGTAATTCAAAAGGCAAATGTTCTCCATGTAGTCATGAAATGCTGTTCAGACTCCTTAAGTAGCATCCATAGCTGCTTACCACGTAAGATTTGTATGAGGGAAATATCTTCTTAATTGGAGAAAAAGAGCTTTCAAGACTTGGTTGTTATTGATTGGCTTATAGATTCATATATGACCCCGAGGGGAATTAGACAAAGAAATAAATCTATGATTTCAAAGCTTACTTATGCTACTTAGACAGACTATTTGATACAGTGAAGATAGTTTATCGTCTGTCTCAAGAGGGATTGTCTGACCATAGCTTAGCCCCCTCTGTCCCAAGAGGCTGTATGGAAACAGGAGGCTGCAATTCAAGTCCAATCCTCACTATTAACCACAGGTGATCTCAGTTCTATTTCTTTCCCTATAAATTAGATGAACTGTGTATCCTCTTCATCTCCTCCCCCCACACAAAGTTGTTGGGAAGACCAAATTATATAATGAGTGGGAAGGGGCTATGTGAGCTCCAAACAAATGTGTAAACTCAGCAGCAGTAACACATGGGACAACTGGGTTGACCTTCACTTTGATCGTGTCATTGCGTCACCGTTATTTTACTTAGTGCTGCAAGGATTTGAAGTCTACGCTAGTCAAAAGGAAAATTACTATTGGATACCCTTTGAACTATATCTACAATCTGACCACTTTTCGCCATTACCTCCACTACCACCCTAGTCTGAGGCACCATCATTTCTTACCTCCTTTAAGTTTTAACATCCTTTTCCAGACACACCCAATGAGATTGCTTTGTGTTGGTCTGCTTGTCAGTGTTGTACTGCAGGAGAACATTCACAAAACATTCCTAACATTTAATTCCTTGATTCTTCCTTAGTTCTTGAATGCCAGAGCTAATGGAGACCTTAGAGAGCTAACTCTGTACTTTTTACATATGGGGAAACTGAGGCTCAGTGAGACAAGAGACCTCTCTATGCCATACAACAATTACGAGGCATAACACTGGACTACAACATGAGGGACCTTGCTCTGTAACACAGCAAAAGCACCTGGAAGGATGTGGAATAATGAGGTCAACACATGTACAATTCAAGCTGGAGGTCTTCTGGGACTTCTGGCTATAGAATCCATGCTGCTGTCTCGTAGAGATTGGTTGGATATCTACAGAAGGAAAAAAATGTATCTTGCTTTCAGAGGGTGATATTTTGGCTCTTAACACATTAACTTAACCGATGGAGTGTTCACTCGGAGTCCCTGCTCCTGCTGCATTTTCAGAATCTCCCCCAATTTGTCTCATTCTTTCACCCACACTTTTGATCATGTGATTCTCCTTTTCAAGAAAATTCCCCATTCTTCCATCTCTTCCTGTCAAAATTCTGCCAAGTTCCTTCTCCATCATAAAATATTTTCTCATCAGCCATGCTCACTTCACTACATAAAGTTTTTGTAGTTTTGCCATGAAACATCATGGCTGCTTTGTATTCATTCCTTTAAAAATATTCATTGAGTATCTAATGTGTGCCAGATCTTGTTTTTTACATTGTAGTTCAGAGAGAAGACGGTGTTAACTTAGAGAGACATGGTCCCTGATCTTGTTCAATTTATTTTCTTCTGGGGAAGACAGATAATAAGCAAGTGAATATATAAGGTAATTTTCTGATAGTGGTAAGAGTTGTGATGAAGATCAACAAAATAAATAAGATAGAGAGTAAGCTTTTTCCGGGGCCTGGGGTAGAAGGAGACTCTTCAGATGAAGTATTCAGGAAGGCCCTCTCTGAAGAGGTCATTTAGGTAAGAGATAAATGACCTTTTCCTGGTCAGCCCTATGGAAATAAAAGAAAGAATATTCCAGGTAGAAGGACCATCTTGTCTCCAGATTCTAAGGTGGGAACAAACATGGAATAATGGAGGAAAGAAAAGGAAGCCAGCATGGCTAGTACAAAGGACAGATTGCAGAAGGCTAGGAGATGAGGCTGAAGGTCAGCTTCTAGCACTTATAAAGAGGGCAGAAACTTAGGTTTTCTTTCAAGTTGGAGAGAAGTCATCGGCGGGTTTTGTGCAAGGTCCTTCCTTATACCCTTATAGAAGCATTGAAAACATCGTGTATCTTAGACATTTTTGTACCTCTAAAAAACTAAGACAAAGTCTTACAAATAGTAGGAATTCAATATACAGTTGCCAAGCTGATTCTGAAGTAAAATTTATGAGACCTTTTGAATTCATTTAGGAAGGATTCCAGCTATCGGAAGTGGATTCTCCATGTCTTGACCTCTGTGATTGGGTAATGTTAGCATTATCTTCTGCATTGCATAATTACATTTCTTTCTCCTAGTGACGTTCTTAGAGTTCAGTAATTGGTACTTTACAGTGTTTCCCAAACACTAGTCATTCATGCATCGCCTTCAAAATTTTTGCTAAATCCATATGTCATCTGTACCATTGAATAAATAATTTATTTCTCTAAAACAAAACACTTTTTACTTAAGCATATTTTAAAGAGAAATGGTTACATACATTTACATGTGTGTAAACAGTCATATACCACATAAAAACATTTCAGTCAATAATGGACCATGTAAATGACAGTGGTCCCATAAGATTGGTACCATATAGCCTAGGTATGTAGTAAGCTATACCATCTAGGTTTGTGTAAGTACACTCTGTGATGTTCGCACAATGATGAAATTGCCTAATGACACAATTTTCAGAAAGTATCCCTGTCGTTAAGCAACAGATGACTGTACATGCATGTATACATACGCATTCTTACACATATGTAAACATATGTTCAAGAGAAACATAAACACACATGTATGTACCCACACAAGACTACTGAGTATCCACGAAATCATAGATGTGATATGCTAGATATATTTTTAAACTATATTAAAATTCGTGACTATTAAAAATCTTAAATGTTCATTTGTGTACACCTAAAATCACTTCGTTGATGATGTCCATATCACCCTTTCAAAAACTATGGTCTAATTGATTCACCTAGCTTTATTCTGAAAATCCTGTCTCAATTGATCAAAGCAAGGCAAGGAGAAGAGCAGCCAAGTGGTAGGTGGCTGCACACACTCAGTCAGAAAGAATAAATCAAGCTGCAATTTCTCAATTACTGGTGATGCAGTCTTCCCCATCATGGGTCAAGCTACTTCACCAAGATCCAATGCAAGTGGGTGGCAGAGTAAAGCAACTTACGGTGAGGCATGGTTGAAGGGGCCTGCTTGTTGAATGATGGATGGAGCAGTTTTCAGTCTAGCTGTCCCAGTTAGAATGAATGCCTTGGGAACCTGTTTCTATCCTAGTGGAAGTGTAGCAAAGTAGCAACGTCTAGGAGAGAATTTGTCATCAGAATGTTCCTCGAGTGACTCGTGGCCTTGGTTTGGATACTTTGATGATGTCTTTTGTGACAGAAGGAAGGTTATGATTAATAGTAATGTCACAGAGCCAACATCCTTAACACAGGCCAGGTTATAAATATAAGGGGGCCTGGGATCTGGTTTTATTTCAGGTTCTTTATCAAAGCTAACTCTCAGAGAACTTTAATTTATGTTCAGAAGGAAGAGCATCTGCAAAGAGACTAACAGGCCCAGTAGAAGAGCAGGTAGACATGCTGAAACATCAAAACAGACATCACACATATGCATCCCCACAAAAACTTCCCTGTGTTTCTATCATATGAAAAGCTCAGTTCTAGGTGCTGTAGGAATAAACGATAAACCTGATCTGTGAGAGATTTACCATGTAGTTTGCTACACCTAGCAAAATTCATGTCAGAGAGGAATGCGTTTAGCTAAAACTAATAGAATTAATGACTAACAGGAACATAAACAGATAGGGTGTATTTTTCTTTCCTAATAAGTATTCTGATAGCATGAAGTCTAGGGCCAGTGTTGAGGTTCAACAATGTCATTAGAGACCCAGGTTTATATTAAATTTCTGCTCAGTTATCTTTACCATGTTGATTTATTGACTAACAGATGAAAGACGGCAGCTCCAGGCATCACGTCTACACGTAGGGCACAGAGAGGGGTCAAGGTGAAAAGGGCTGTCAGCATGGCATCGGTGTTAGCACTTGAGAGACCCAAGTTCAAATCCTGTCTTTGGTGCCTGGTAGCTAATAGCCCCGATGGAAACCACAACCCCTTAAAGCCTTGCTTTCCCCATCTACAAAATGGAGAAGACATCACTTACCTTTTCCTAAGTTTCTTGTAGGATTTAAAAAGTTCTTACATATTATTTAGAATAATGTTCAGCTCAAAGCAGATGCTCAGTAAATGGTTGCTTCTGGAATTAGATGTGAGTTTAGTGTCAGTGTGGGTTACACATCAGGGTCACCTGAGGGATTTGTTACAAATGCAAATACTGTGACATCCCATTAGATATGGCCAATCAGAATCTCAGGTTATAGGGCTTGGGCATCTTTATATTTTTAATAAGTTTCAATGGAGATTAAAGCTTGGTGTGAAAAATAGAGAAGTCCAACTATATTTTGATTGTAGGAATATTTTCTACAAGGAATAGCAAGAAGATTTTTGAGGTTATATTTTAAATATATAAATAAATATAAATATGAATATGTTATCTTGAAGTTTATAATAAATTTTTCCTTGTAGACCCAAGAGAATTTTGCATTATTGAATCATGTTCAAACTGAGAAAAAAGATCTACAATACTGTTGTCTTTTCTTTCTCTCTCTCTCTCTCTCTCTTTCTTTCTTTCTGTCTCTCGCTCTCTTTCTTTCTTCCCCTCTCTCTTTCCTTCCCTCCCTCCCTCTCTTTTTTTCTCATAGGAAGCAGGGGGGAACTACCAGAATTTTCTACTGGTAAAGTAATATTGAGGAAGTGTACACTAGAGGTCTGTCAATGAAGAAGTAAATTCATGGGTATTAACTCTGAGCCAATCTTTAAAATACTCAATAGAAGGATTCTTTTCCTTGATGAGTTTATTCTTATTTTGAAATATACAATTTGAGCAACTAACTTTGAATTCAGATTGATAGTGTCAAGATGGTGCTGTAGGTGGACTTTGAACTCACCTCCTCCCATGGACACAACAAACTTACAACTACTCTGGGAACAATTACTCCTGAGAGAGAACAGGAAACTGGAAGAAAAGAACTCCCACAACAATGGACACTACGGACTGAGGTGGAAGAGGCAGAAATTCCTTTCTGGAGAGAAAAAGCCACCTTCTAGCTGTGGTGCTTCATGGCTGGCCAGGAATAATCCTAAGGTATGAAGCCGTCCATGGAGGAGTGGGGAATCTAAGCAGGGAAGTGTTACCACTTCAAGCAGCTTTTGGACTTAGCACAAATGAGACAAGTGTCATAATATGTGTCTTTGTTGGCTATTAACTACAACGAGGAATACTCCCCAAAAAGCTATCAGACATAAGGGGAAAACCTTGTGTTCTTAAAGGGCCCATGCACAAATTCACCCATTTTGGAAAGTAACCTAAAATCACCAGAAAGAAAGGTACACAGTCCTTTGGTGAAAAGAGACTCACTTCATAGGCTCTGGGCACATCTTGGTGAGAGGTGAGACCTCTCTGCCAGGCAGGGACTACCTCCCCAGGGAGTGAGACATTGTCTTCAGCCATTATTGTGACCTAGTACAGGTGTGGTGACACAGACACTGGCAGATGCCTTTGGAGTTCTTTCCCTGGTCTGTGAGCTCAGAGGTCTGCCCCACCCACTAGAGCACTGATTCAATCCAGCTCAGCCAGGGCAGGCAACCCTCCCTAGGGACTGGCCTCACTCAACAGCAAGGCCTCAGGCAACTTGTGGGCCCACATAGGTGGGGTGCCTGGAACATCTGCAGCTGGGTGAATGGATCCACCTCTGTAGGGCAGGGCATGCATGAGGGCCAGGTCTGCATTGGTGCAGTGTGTTGGGCCTCTGCAGTGGGGAAACTGGCTCTGCTTCCGTGGGTCAGGGCATGTGCATGGGGCCAGGTTGTGTTGACCAGGTGTGTGGTCCTGTGGGAAGTGGGGCTTGTCAGCTGCAGCAGACCTGTGCTTGTCAAACAGCCACATAGGGGATCAGCCCCATCTTCCAAACCTGAAACAATTGGGTGCTCCTGGGCCTGGGGCTGGTCCCACACAGTTGCAATCCTGAGAGAGCTGACAACAGCCTTGTAGGCTGGAGGCCTACAGCAATTGTAAGTCCCTGAGCCTAGCAACCAGCCACTGTTGGGGCCTACTCACTTAATAGAAAACCTGCAATAGGAATGTGCTATTAGATCTTGATGCCAACTATGTTGGGGGTCCCCACATACGATAAAGTGACTGAAGGGACCATAGCAGCAACACACAGCTGAGCATTACAACCAGCCCAGCAGAGGTACAGCCCAGCCTCCCCATGTACCCGCAGCAAGAGCAACCCCACCACAATGGAAGGACACATGTAGCTCACACAGGGGACACTCCTGGAACATTTGGACCTGGTGACAAGAGGGAAGCACACTGCTTGACCTCATAAGGCATTTCAAAGATCAGGAGATGTAGATGACCTAACTAATACATAGATATTAGCACAGAGAAAGAGGCAAAATGAGGAGACAAAAGAATATGTTCCAAGTAAGGGAACAGGACAAAACTTCAGAAAAGGAACTAAATGAAACAGAGATAAACAATCTACCTGACAAAGAGTACAAACTAATAGTCACAAGTGTGCTCACTGATCTTGGGAGAAGAATGGATGAACTCAGTGGGAACTTCAACAAAGAATTGAAAATATAAAAAAGAACCCATCAGAAATGAAGAATACAATACTGGAAATGAAAAATTCACTAGAGGGGCTCAATAGCAGAGTAGATGATATAGAAGAACAGACCAGTGAGCTGGACAAAAGACTAGAGGAAATTGCCCAAGCTGAACAGATAAAAGAAAGAAGAATTAAAAAGAATGAGGACAGTCTAAGGGACCTCTGCAATAACATCAAGCACACTAACATCCATATTATAGGTGACCCAGAAGGAGGAGAGAGAGATAAAGGGACATAGAATCTATTTGAAGAAATAATAGCTGACAAATTTCCTAACCAAAGGAAGGAAACAGACGTCTAGGTACAGGAAGAAGAGAGAGCATCGAGCAAGATAAAGCCAAAGCAGCCCACACCAAGACACATTATAATTAAAATGTCAAGAATTAAAGATAAAGAGAGAATCCTGAAAGTCACAAGAGAAAGGCAACAAGTTACATGCAAAGGAAACTCCATAAGGCTGTAAGGTGACTTCTCAGCAGAAACCTTATAGGCTAGAAGGGAGTGGAACAGTATAATTAAAGTGCTGAAAGGAAAAAATCTACAGCTAAGAATACTCTATCCTTCAAGGTTGTCATTCAGAATAGAAGGAGAGATAAAGAGTTTTCCAGAGAAGCAAAATCTAAAGGGGTTTATCGCCAAGAAAACAGCCCTAACAGAAATGCTAAATGGATTTATTTAAGTGGAAAAGAGAAGATCACAAATAGGAATAAGAAAATTATCTCAAAACAAAACAAGAAAATCACTAGTAAAGGCAAATATACAGTAAAGTAGCAGATCCACCACGTATGAAGCTAATGCGAAGGTCAAAAGACAAAAGCTCTAACATTATCTGTATCCATGATAAAAGGGTAATGGATGCATATGCACAAAAAAAGAGGTTATATGTGATATCAAAAACATAAAATGTGGGAGGAGGAGAGTAAAAGAGAAGAGACTTTAGCAAGAGGTCAAACTAAAAAGACCATCAACTTAATATAGATTCCTATATATGTAGGTTATTATATATGAACCTCATGGTAATCAAAACCCAGAAACCTATAATAAATACACAAGAAATTAAGAGAAAGGAACCCAAACATAATACTAAAGAAAGCCATCAAACCACAAGGGAAGAGAGCAAGAGAAGAAGAAAGCAACAGAGAAGAACTACTAAAACACCCAGAAAAAAAGGGACAAAATGGCAATAAGTACATTCTTACAAAAAGCTAGTTTAAATGTCAATGAACTAAATGCTCCAATCAAAAGGCATAGGGTGGCTTATTGGATAAAAAAGACCCATATATATGCTGCAAAAAGAGACACACTTCAGACCTAAAGACACTCATAAACTGAAAGTAAAGGGATAGAAAAAGATACTCCATGCAAATGGCAATGAAAAGAAAGCTGGAGTAGCAAAACCTATATCAGAGAAAACAGAATTCGAAACAAAAACTGTAACAAGAGACACAGGGCACTACATAATGACAAAGGGAACAATGCAACAAGAGGATATAACACTTGTAAATATCTATGGACCCAAGTTAGGAGCACCTAAACATGTAAGGAGATTATTAGCAGACATAAAAGGAGAAATAGACAGCAACACAATAATAGTAGGAGACTTTAACATTCCACTTACACCAATGGAGAGATCACCCAAACAGAAGATCAAGAAGGAAACATTGGCCTTAAATGACACATTAGACCAGATGGACTTAGTACATACATACAGAACATTCCATACAAAAATCACAGAAGACACTTTCTTTTTAAATGCATATGGAATATTCTACAGGATAGACTACATATTAGGTCACAAAAGAAATCTCAGTAAATTTAAGAAGACTGAAATAATACCAAGAATCTTTTCTGACAACAGCAATGTGAAACTAGAAATCAACTACAGGAAGAAAATCAGAAAAGCCACAAAGATGTGGACATTAAACAAAATGCTACTGAACGATTGGGTCAATGAAGAAATCAAGGGAAAAATCAAAAATACCTGGAGACAAATGAAAATGAAAATACAAAATGCCAAAATTTATTGGGTACAGCAGATGTGGTTCTAAGAGGTAAGTTTATAGCAATACAGGCCTACTTCAACAAACAAGAAAAATCTCAAATAAACAATCCAACAGTGCACCTAAAGGAACTGGAAAAAGAACAAGCAAAGCCCACAATCAGCAGAAGGATGGAAATAATAAAAATCAGAGCAGAAATAAATGAAATAGAGACTAATAAAACAATAGAAAAAAATCAGTGAAACCAAGAGCTCATTCTTTGAAAAGATAAACAAGATTGACAAACCTTTAGCTAGACTCACCAAGAAAAAAAGACAGAATGTTCAAATACATAAAGTCAGAAATGGAAGAGGAGAAATTACAATGGACACCTCAGAAATATAAATGATTATAACAGAATACTATGAAAACCTATACGGAAACAAATTGGATAATCTAGAAGAAAAGGATAAATTCTAAGAATCATAAAACCTTCCCAAACTGAATCAAGAAGAAATAGAGAATTTGAATAGACCAATCACCAGTAAGGAGATCAAAACAGTAATCAAAAACCTCCCCCAAAAATAAAAGTCCAGGACCAGACAGCTTCCCTGGTGAATTCTAACAAACATTGAAACAAGACTTAATACTTATCCTTCTCAAAATCTTCCAAAAATTGAAGACAGGAGGAAGCTTCCTAACTCATTCTATGATGCCAACATTACCCTGATAACAAAACCAGACAAGGACAACACAATAAAAGAAAATTACAGGCCAATAGCATTGATGAACATTGATGCAAAAATCCTCAATAAAATACTGCAAGTCAAATACAACAATACATTAAAAAGATCATACAGGGCTCAGCCCAGTAGCATAGTAGATAAGTTTGTGTATGCCACTTTGATGGCCCAGGGTTCTTGGGTTCAGATGCTGGGTGCAGACCTATGCATTGCTCATCAAGCCACGCTTGTGGTGTTGTCCCACACAAAAATAAGAGGAAGATGTTAGCTCAGGGATAATCTTCCTCAAGCACAAAGAGGAAGATTGGCAACAGCTGTTAGCACAGGGCCGATTATCCTCACCAAAAATAAACAAATAAATAAAAAATCATACACAATGATCAAGTGGGATTTATTCCAGGGATGCAGGGATGGTTCAACATCCACAAATCAATCAATGTGATACACCACATTAACAAAACAAAGAATAAAAATCACATGATCATCTCGATAGATGCAGAGAAAGCATTTGACAAGATGTAGAATCCATTTATGATAAAAACTCTGACTATAATGGGTATAGAAGGAAAGCACCTCAATGTAACAAAGGCCATATATGACAAACCCACAGTTGATATCATTGTCGATGGAGAGAAACTGAAAGCTATCCTTCTAAGAACTGGAGAGAGACAAGGATGCCCACTTTCACCACTCTTATTTAACATAGAATTGGAAGTCCTAGCCAGAAAAATCAGGCAAGAAAAAGTAGTAAAACAGATCCAAACTGGAAAGGAAGAAGTGAAACTGTCACTGCGGATGACATGATTTCATATATAGAAAATCCTAAAGAATCCACCAAAAAAATTTTAGAATTAATAAATGAATACAGTAAAGTTGCAGGATACAAAATCAACATATAAAAATCAGTTGTGGTTCTATACATTAACAACAAAGTATCAGAAAGAGAAATTAAGAATGCAATCCCATTTATAATTGCAACAAAAAGAATAAAATGACTAGGAATAATCTAAACCAAAGAGGTGAAAGACCTGTACACTGAAAACTGTAAAACAGGGGCTGGCCTGGGTGGTGCAGCGGTTAAGTTTGCAGTTCTGCTTCTTGGCAGCCCGGGGTTTGCTTGTTCGGATCCCAGCTGTGGACATGGCACTGCTTGGCAAAAGCCATGCTGTGGTTGGCATCCCACGTGTAAAGTAGAGGAAGATGGGCATGGATATTAACTC